CTGAAGGATGTGCAGGTTCAAATCTAATCTAGGACAGCATACTTTTTCAGGTGCAGCGGGATAGCATCTTCCAAGCCCTTCGATTTGAGCCAGGCTTTGGAGAACAGACGACTTTGGTAACGATAGGCACCGTCGCACAAGATGGTTGCGACCTTTGAACCTACGTGACAAGATGAAAACTCACAAAATTGACGATTAAAACTACGCAACGTACCTTTGCCCAATTTTTGTGCAAGCTCTACGGCAGCAACGACATTTAAAGCGGAGCTTGCTCCGAGGTACAGGCCTTCTGTATGCAGAAGTTCATATACCATGGCAATAGATTTCTCGTCGGGAACGGTGAACGCGCCCGAGAGCTCATCGACAAATGTACCGAGATTCTGCGTTACACGACCCTGACCAATGCCTGGGAGCAGCTGAATTAAACCAAATTGCTTTAGAAACATTCAATATACCTTCTGTAATTGAGCTTCCAGCACGTTCAATGAGCTTTCCTCCACTCTGAATGTAACTTGTCAACACACTCCCTGGCGGGTCGGCAAGCCAGATCTGCGTCTTTCCGCCGCTCTTCTCCTTGAGATACTTCCCGATGCCTGCAAGTGTGCCCCCTGTCCCTGTCGCGCAAATGAACCCATCGAGGTCTCCCTGCATTTGCTCCCAGATCTCGGGGCCGGTTGAGGTATAATGAGCATTCGCGTTGGCGGTATTGTCGAATTGATCTGTCCAAATAGCATTTTCAAGAGTCAAGGCATAATCCCGGGCTTGATGGTTATAGTTCAATGGGTTATCAAATGCAACGGCAGGGACTGGACGAACGTCCGCGCCCAGCATTCGCAGAAGATCAATCTTCTCCTGGCTCTGGTTATACGCGGATTAATATCTCAATACAAAAGGAAGTGGAAAGAACTGACTTGGGTGTTTGGCATGTATATCACACAGTTATAACCTCTCGCACGGCAGACATGGGCCAGCCCAATGCCTGTATTTCCTGCCGTTCCTTCGACAACGGTTCCGCCCGGCTTAATTCTGTACGAATAGATATAGAAGCATAGGTTGTTGCCAAAGAAAGGTGACTCACAAGCCCTTCTCTTCTGCATTTTTAACAACACCAAGGGCAGCACGATCCTTGACGCTACCACCAGGGTTCTGAAACTCGGCCTTTCCATAAATCTTGGAACCTATTTGTTCCGACAGCGTTTTCAGATAGATCTAGGTGTATGAGCGTCAACAATAATGAGGACGCGGGAAAGAATTTTTACCAATGGGGTATTGCCAACGGCTTCCGTGAAGCCATTGACAGTAGAAGCGGTAGCGAAGCCCCTGCGACTCGCAGCTACACGTAGGCCCGCGAACATGATGTCAGGAAAGTGAAATATAAAGCGAGTCGAAGTTGAATGTTATTCATGGAGGTGAGCGAGCGAGCACGACATCGACTTATATAATCTTCCAAGTCGGCACAACAGATCACCCGGTGATAAAAAAAATGGTATTAAGTGTAGGTATGAGCTATGGCGGGAGTTATGGATTTCATGAGGCTGGAGACGTGGGTACGATTCTGTACGTTGCAGGTGTTCGTGTGTGGACATGAGTAGATAGTAGAAACAGGAAGAGCATAAGTAAGGGTATGTTGAGACAAATGGGAATGTTCGCTGCACAGGACAGAGATTGGGGGA